GCATTTTATGAGCTTACTAAGGGCGTTATAAATGAATTCAAAGGTATTTACATACATCCTGACCTCGTTCATTTTGTTGCTGAATTCAGCAAAAATAATGTTTAGGTGAAGAGGTGAGATTTCACCTAATTTTCACCTCTTTTCTACCCTCAACCGCTAAGCGGCGAGACCCAAATGTCTTGAATTTTCATGTCAAAACTTCATCGTAAATGTTTTGTCAAAACTTCATCGTAAATGTTTTGTCATGATTTCATCGTATATGTTTTGTCATGACTTCTTCGTATATGCTTTGTCAAAACTTCTTCGTATATGTTTTGTTATGATTTCATCGTAAATGTTTTGTCAAACATGAACGTAAAGACTTCATCGAAACTAAACGTAAACTCTATGTCAAACATGAACGTAAACTCTATGTCAAACATGAACGTAAAGACTTCATCGAAACTAAACGTAAAGACTTTGTCAAACATGAACGTAAAGACTTCATCGAAACTAAACGTAAACTCTATGTCAAACATGAACGTAAACTCTATGTCAAACATGAACGTAAAGACTTCATCGAAACTAAACGTAAACTCTATGTTAAACATGAACGGAAACTCTATGTCAAACATGAACGTAAATGTTTTGTCATGATTTCATCGTAAATGTTTTGTCATGACTTCATCGTAAACACTTTGTCAAAACTTCTTCGTATATGTTTTGTTATGATTTCTTCGAAACTAAACATAAACACTTTGTCAAAACTTCATCGTAAATGTTTTGTCATGACTTCTTCGTATATGCTTTGTCATGACTTCATCGTAATGAGTGTAAATGACCCAAAAATAATGTTTAGGTGAAGAGGTGAGATTTCACCTAATTTTTCACCTCTTTTTTCACCCTGTTGAATTTTCATGATTTCTTCATATATACTTTGTCAAAACTTCATCGTAACTAAATATATTTTATGACTGAAGTTATTTAGTTAATAATGTAGCGGATGAACTGCAGAAATAATTTTTAGTCATTTATGCTCATTACGATGAGGTCATGACAAAACATTTACGTTCATGTTTGACATAGAGTTTACGTTTAGTTTCGATGAAGTCTTTACGTTCATGTTTGACAAAACATTTACGATGAAATCATAACAAAACATATACGAAGAAGTTTTGACAAAGCATATACGAAGAAGTCATGACAAAACATATACGATGAAATCATGACAAAACATATATGATGAAGTTTTGACAAAGTGTTTACGTTCATGTTTGACATAGAGTTTACGTTCATGTTTAACATAGAGTTTACGTTTAGTTTCGATGAAGTCTTTACGTTCATGTTTGACAAAACATTTACGATGAAGTCATGACAAAACATATACGATGAAATCATCATGACAAAACATATACGTTCATGTTTAACATAGAGTTTACGTTTAGTTTTGACAAAACATTTACGTTCATGTTTAACATAGAGTTTACGTTTATGTTTGACAAAGTGTTTACGCTCATTACGATGAATTTTTGACAAAGCATTTACGATGAAATCATGAAAATTCAACAGGGTGAAAAAAGAGGTGAAAAATTAGGTGAAATCTCACCTCTTCACCTAAACATTATTTTTGGGTCATTTACACTCATTACGAAGAAATCATGACAAAACATTTACGTTTAGTTTTGACATAGAGTTTACGTTCATGTTTAACATAGAGTTTACGTTTAGTTTTGACAAAACATTTACGTTTAGTTTTGACATAGAGTTTACGTTTATGTTTAACATAGAGTTTACGCTCATTACGAAGAAGTAATAACATAGAGTTTACGTTTAGTTTCGATGAAGTCTTTACGTTCATGTTTGACAAAACATATACGAAGAAGTTTTGACAAAACATTTACGATGAAGTCATGACAAAACATTTACGATGAAATCATGACAAAGCATTTACGATGAAGTCATGACAAAACATTTACGTTTAGTTTTGACATAGAGTTTACGTTCATGCTTAACATAGAGTTTACGTTCATTACGAAGAAATCATGACAAAACATATACGATGAAGTCATGACAAAGTCTTTACGTTCATGTTTGACATAGAGTTTACGTTCATGTTTGACAAAGTCTTTACGTTTAGTTTCGATGAAGTCTTTACGTTCATGTTTGACAAAGTCTTTACGTTTAGTTTCGATGAAGTCTTTACGTTCATGTTTGACATAGAGTTTACGTTCATGTTTGACATAGAGTTTACGTTTAGTTTTGACAAAACATTTACGATGAAATCATAACAAAGCATTTACGATGAAATCATGACAAAACATTTACGTTCATGTTTGACATAGAGTTTCCGTTCATGTTTAACATAGAGTTTACGTTTAGTTTCGATGAAGTCTTTACGTTCATGTTTGACATAGAGTTTACGTTCATGTTTGACAAAGTCTTTACGTTTAGTTTCGATGAAGTCTTTACGTTCATGTTTGACAAAGTCTTTACGTTTAGTTTCGATGAAGTCTTTACGTTCATGTTTGACATAGAGTTTACGTTCATGTTTGACATAGAGTTTACGTTTAGTTTTGACAAAACATTTACGATGAAATCATAACAAAGCATTTACGATGAAATCATGACAAAACATTTACGTTCATGTTTGACATAGAGTTTCCGTTCATGTTTAACATAGAGTTTACGTTTAGTTTCGATGAAGTCTTTACGTTCATGTTTGACATAGAGTTTACGTTCATGTTTGACATAGAGTTTACGTTTAGTTTTGACAAAACATTTACGTTCATGTTTGACATAGAGTTTACGTTTAGTTTTGACAAAACATTTACGTTCATGTTTGACATAGAGTTTACGTTTAGTTTCGAAGAAATCATAACAAAACATATACGAAGAAGTTTTGACAAAGTGTTTACGATGAAGTCATGACAAAGCATATACGAAGAAGTTTTGACAAAGTGTTTACGATGAAGTCATGACAAAGCATATACGATGAAATACCTGTAAATGAAGCTTTATAAAGTATGATTGGAATTTATTTTTGCATTAATCCTGCTGTGATGTCAAAATGTCATGTTGTCAGTAATTTTAAGAGAAGTTAATTAACCTGGTGACACATGGTGACGTGGTGACACTTTCAGTTCTTCAAAAATAATTCATAAATGCCTTCCTCCTTTCGTACCTGTTGTCTAAATGTCATGCTGTCATCATTTTTCAGAGAAGTTAATTAACCTGGTGACACATGGTGACGTGGTGACACTGAAAACATTTACGTTTAAGTTCGACAAAACATTTACGAAGAAGTTTTGACAAAGCATTTACGATGAAGTTTTGACAAAGTATTTATGTTTAGTTTCGAAGAAGTTTTGACAAAACATTTACGATGAAGTCATGACAAAACATTTACGTTCATGTTTGACATAGAGTTTACGTTTAGTTTCGATGAAGTCTTTACGTTCATGTTTGACAAAACATTTACGATGAAATCATAACAAAACATATACGAAGAAGTTTTGACAAAGCATATACGAAGAAGTCATGACAAAACATATACGATGAAATCATGACAAAACATTTACGATGAAGTTTTGACAAAACATTTACGATGAAGTTTTGACATGAAAATTCAAGACATTTGGGTCTCGCCGCTTAGCGGTTGAGGGTAGAAAAGAGGTGAAAATTAGGTGAAATCTCACCTCTTCACCTAAACATTATTTTTGCTGAATTCAGCAACAAAATGAACGAGGTCAGGATGTATGTAAATACCTTTGAATTCATTTATAACGCCCTTAGTAAGCTCATAAAATGCTTGTTTTGAGGTTGAGCCACTTTTAGCTCGACCGTATTCTTTCATCCAAAACTCAAGAATTTCCTGCATGAATTTTGTATAAAAAGCAACAGCCGGAATTCCGGCTGTTGCTATATTCTTCATGACAAAGCATATACGTTTATGTTTGACAAAACATATACGATAAAGTTTTGACAAAACATATACGAAGAAGTTTTGACAAAACATATACGATGAAGTTTTGACAAAGCATTTACGAAGAAATCATGACAAAGCATTTACTATGAAGTTTTGACAAAACATATACGATGAAGTTTTGACAAAGCATTTACGTTTAGTTTCGATGCAGTTAGTGTCTATGTTATACAGTAATGTTAGTCATGAATGTTTGTCCTAAGTGTTGGTGTTAGTGTTGAAAAATAATGTTTGTCCTACATGAACCCGTACAAGCGTTTGAATTTGTTTATGAATAAAATTACACTCTTGTTTTCTGTATCTATCATACAAACATAAGCAGCACCTGTTTTTGTAAAGATTATATGAAGTTTTCGATAGTTAAGACCTGTATAATAATAGAATGCGTCTTCATTCTCAACATAGTAGTAGAACTCAAACGAATGCTTACCATAATCTGTTATTTCAACAGCTTCGTCAGATATTTCATCAACGAACTCATAAACTATATCGCCATACTTGCTTTTATTTCTATTGTTTTCAGATCTAGAACACCAACGAAGGTTTGAGATTCTGTTGTCCGTTCTATCATGATTTATATGGTCTATTTCTTTCAAATTGTTTGGATTTTCAATCCACTGTTCTGCAATAATTCTATGCTTTAAGTACATTTTGTTGTTTAAACTAAGCACAATATAACCATAATTATTTAAGCATTCACTCTTAATATGTTTGTCTTTCTTTCAACGAATAGTAAAAGGATATGTCGTACAAATCTCATAATCTTCATGATTTCTCAATGTTTCCCATTGAGTTTGTTCCCCACTACGTTCTCATTGACGTCCTCAATATCTTCTTCCTCACTGAACTCGTCAATATTTTCACTAGCTCCTTCTGTAATGTTTTCATGGCATTGTCATTGACTTCTTCTGTAATGTTAGATGTTGTTGTTTCGCTCATGTTCTTTCACTAATGTTAAAAAGTTATGTTGTACGAATTTTGAACAGAATTTAGAGCAGTTATGAAACAATGAAGTATTTTTACGCTATTGAAAGGAACTATGAGAGTGAAGTACATGACAGCAATGACAAAAGGAACTAATATCAAACCTAATGAAATCGCTCACGAAGACATAGAGCTTAACAAGTACTTTGTGGAATATCTTATAAGTGAAGAGTATGTAAGACCTTACTTCATGTTTGACAGCATGAATGAGGATGTTATTTCATGGTTAAAGAATATAAGCAATGTTTTCGGTAAGTACGTCATAGATGACAAAGGTCTTGTTGTATTTTATGAGACAGCAATACGAACACAGGAACTAATGGATATTATGCACTCAACAGCAAAGAAAGGATTTAGTACTATTGGCATGAATGAACATTGCAGGAATGACATATACAACCTATGCTCACGAAAGCCTTACACAAAAGCAATACAAATGATAGAACATAAGCGTCTAAGGTCAGCAAATGAAATCATTACTGTCAGTGGTTATGAAAGAACTGTTAGCAAAGATGAGTGGAAACAGCTATTCATATTAAGGAAGGACGTGCTGAACTAGTTAAACCTGTTGCACAAACATTGTTTCAGATAAGACCAGCAATGACTAAGAACCCTTTGACCTTAGTCAATGAGACCATAGAGGTTGAAGATAATGACATGAAAGAACTAGGAATGAATGAGAGAAGTTGTGAAGGATGTTTGAGTCAAAACACATGGTTCTTCAGAGCTGTTAAGAAACTTAGTAAAGAACGACAGAAATATTTTATAGAGAAGTATTGCAAAGGATGTGTAAATGAATTGCTTGAAATAGAACTTAGAGACACTTTCACACTAAAGGACTTGAGGAACATAAGTACATGAGTGAAGAAGGTATTGACATAGCTAGTGTTATAAATGACTTAAGAAGATGTGTTGTTGTTATTGACGGAGCACGTATGACATATCTAGTGAAAGATTATGATGGAATACGAGACACAACAACACTTGTGTCAGTAGATAGCAAGGAATTCAATAAGCTCATGAAGAGTGTTTATGTAGGACGTATTGAGGAGAAGGATGTGAACGCACTGATGATTTATGAAGCGGGTCAGAACAAGAACTATCTTATGAAGTCAGGCATGAGATTCTTTGACGAAAGAGATGACATTTACAGCTATTTCAGAGGATATGAGTATGAGGTACTGAATGAAGTAGATGAAAGCGTTATTGAAGGATATTTGAAACATGTTCACGATGTCATATGTAATGAGGATGAAGAGCTTTATGAGTATGTTTTGAACTGGTTCGCCTACATCGTTCAAAATCCTTGTGGAAAGACTGGAACAGTACTTTTGTTAACAGGAAAGCAAGGAACTGGTAAGAATGTACTTAGTAATGTTCTATGCGAGCTCATTAGCAAGTACGCCAACAATAATATAACGGCAATAGAGAATGTGGTTGGTAGATTCAATGCTGCTATTGAGAACATGAAGCTCATCGTATGCAATGAACTAAGCTCATGCGATACGTCTAAGGTCATGAACCACGACGCACTAAAGTCAATAGTAACAGAGACTCAGTTGGACTTAAATCAGAAGTGTCAGCCAGTAAGAAAGATAGAGAATGTTTGTAATATCATCATGATATCTAACAACTTCAACTCAGTAAAGATTGACAAAGACGACAGAAGATTTGTTGTCATTGACGTAAGCAGCAGATACAAAGGAAATTACGAATATTTCTCAAATCTCATTGAAAGCTTTAATGAAGAGTTTTATTCAAACTTACTGACGTACTTCATGAAGAAAGATTTAAGTGAATTTGATGTAAGGAAGATACCATTCACCAGGGCTAAACAAGAACTCATCGAAATGAACAAAACACCTTACCAAATGTTTTACGAGGAGTTCTATGAAAAGTTTGTATCCGGATGGAATTGTACAGAGTGCTACAGAAGATATAAAGAATTTGCGAAGGAGAATGAATTCTTTGCATGTAGTTCAAATGTATTTGGTGGCAAGATGAGAGAATTTGTGAAGAGAAGTAGAAAGCGAGACGGTTCTGCAAGAAGTTATATTTACGAAGCAAGTATGATATTAGAAGGTCGTGGAAAGAAAGAAACAGTGAATTACGAGGAAGTGCTTGAAAAATTCATGGAGTACATGGGAAGCAATATAACATACAACAAAGACATATACAGTGAGTTTAAGTACTACTGTGAACAGCATGAGATTGAAGTAATGAGTAAAGGAGACTTTGAAACGCTTATGAAAGACAGTAAGGAGGTCATACATGAGAACAGTATTGAAATAGTTCATGAGAACAGTGAGGAGGTCATACATGAATGCAATGATGAAATAGTTCACGAGAACAGTGAGGAGGTCATACATGAATGCAATGATGAAATAGTTCACGATGTCGTTCGTGAAGAAGCCATTGCAACAAAGAATGATATAAAGGATTTCATAGAACTTAACAAGGAGGAGTTTAAAGAAGGCTATGAAGTGAAAAGATGTGAAGAAGATTTCTTGGCGTATTTGAAGAAAAAGAGACTAAAGCCAATGGCTCAAAATAAGTTTCAATCGATGTTTGAAAAGAAACGTTTGAGCTATGGTGGTGTAAGAAGCACATATTACTTTGTTAAGAAGTGAGGACATTTATTTTTGTCGTTAGTGTTGGAGTTTGTGTTGGAGTTTGTGTTTGTCATTTGTGCTGAAGTTAGTACTTGTCGTTAGTGTTGGAGTTTGTGTTGGAGTTTGTGTTTGTCATTTGTGTTTGTCATTTGTGTTTGTCATTTGTGCTGAAGTTAGTACTTGTCGTTAGTGTTGGAGTTTGTGTTTGTTGTTAGTGTTTGTCATTTGTGCTGAAGTTAGTACTTGTCGTTAGTGTTGGAGTTTGTGTTTGTTGTTAGTGTTTGTCATTTGTGCTGAAGTTAGTACTTGTCGTTAGTGTTGGAGTTTGTGTTGGAGTTTGTGTTTGTTGTTAGTGTTTGTCATTTGTGCTGAAGTTAGTACTTGTCGTTAGTGTTGGAGTTTGTGTTTGTCATTTGTGCTGAAGTTAGTACTTGTCGTTAGTGTTGGAGTTTGTGTTTGTCATTTGTGCTGAAGTTAGTACTTGTCGTTAGTGTTGGAGTTTGTGTTTGTTGTTAGTGTTTGTCATTTGTGCTGAAGTTAGTACTTGTCGTTAGTGTTGGAGTTTGTGTTGGAGTTTGTGTTTGTTGTTAGTGAGAGAATAAATTAAATCATGAACTTTGCCATGGTCTCTGTCCCTAGTAGTTTTCATTAAGTTCTGGAAATAATGAAAGTCATAAACTTTGCCATGATCTCTGTCCCTAGTAGTTTTCATTATCTCACAGAGTTAATGAAAGTCATACTTTCTATCAGGTGAAGCATGCAGATGAACATAATGAAAGTTAGTGAGTTTGCCACGAGTTATGAATAAAATATTGGCATATTAGATGAGATAGCTGATGAAACAGATGAAGATAAATTAAATCTTGGACTTTGCCACACTCTGTCCCTAGTTCCTCAAAATCCTTGACAACGTTGCTTAGAAATTTTGGTTCAAAACCTCATCTGATTTTAATCTGTTATGCTACCTGTTAAGTTTCGCGAGATTATAAATGTCATGGAGTTATATAAAAAGGAGGGACAGCTAGGGACACTGGAAGTACTTGTAAGGCTATCTGTTAAGATTGCATGAAATACTGAAAAGTCATGAAATCCATTATCGCTGTGCTAGCTTCACCTTAGAGTAAAATGACGACTAAAGTCACTGAAGCAATGAAACAAAAGTTTTTGGTAGAATACATTAAATCAGGAACTATTCCAGAAGGTTTTTACATTCATACTATGAAGGATGGTAGAGTTCAGTTTAGAAAGATAAAGCAACCATTAGATAAAGAAGGAATTTTGAGAAAGATTAAACTTCATGAGGACAACATTGCTGAACTTAAGAAGAAGTTAGAAGAGTTGGAGAAAGGAAGAGAGTTATAAAGCAATGAATTCAACAGGGTGAAAAAAGAGGTGAGATTTCACCACTTCACCTAAACATTATTTTTGTGCTATGTTTTCATACGTGTGAGGGTGGTGATATCATTTATTTTTAAATAAATGTGGGAACAAAAATAAAGCATATCTACTCAACAGGAATGAGACCCTTACTGACTATGTATTCGTTTAATGCTTGATGAAAACAATGGTACATATTATCGTATGGGTATACACAACGTCTGTTTCCATCGTCGTCGTATATGTAGAGCTCAAATCCAGTCCAACCTTCTTTTGTACAATATGTAGCTTTATTTAAGTATGCATTTATGTAGATAAGGCAATTTTCTTCATCGCTCCAGAAATAATTTTTGTTCTTTGTTGAAATAGTTTTCGTTCCTCTGCGACCATAAGGAATGTATGCAATGAACTTTGCGTCATATGGGATTGTAATATATTCAGGGTTTCTTTCATCGTCAATGGGTCTGTCTTTGTTAAAATGCATGTTTCTCAGTTTTACTTGAGTTTTGAATAGTTCACGGAAACGTTCTGGGAAAGAGTCATAGTAAATGTAGTCGGACATGTCTTTGTAATGAAATAAAAAATTAAAAAAAATAAAAATAAGGTTATTTTTTATTTAGTGAGGACGATAGTGAATTCGTTAGTGAAGTCGTTAGTGAAGTAGTTAGTGAAATCGTTAGTGAAATCGTTAGTGAAATCGTTTATGTGTCAGACGGTTTTGTAAATATTTAAGGTTAAATTGGTGTTATGGTTGTATTGTAAAATATACGTTACCGGTTTTGTAAAGTGTCAAACCGTTAACTTGGGTAAGGTGGAACGCAGTGCCGCCGTACCCAAGTTAGGGATACTAACTAAAATTCTCTTATTTCGATAAAATCTGGGCGAGCCGAAAAGATTGTTTGCCAAAAACGTTCTATTTTACCATTTAACTGTGGTGTGTAAGGTTCTGTCCGATGGTGTTGAATGCCATTTACTTGAAGAACGTTTTTGAAGTCCTTTCCTGTAAATTCGCATCCATTATCTGTCAAAAGTTCGTATGGAATAATTTTGATAGAGTCGATAGCATTTTGTAAAGCTTTTGAAGTTGATTTCATTGTTTTATCGGGAAGAATTTCGTAATAAATACAAAAACGAGATCTGTCATCGATAAAGGCAATTAAATGATAAGTATGCTTGGTACCATTTGTCTCTTCTTTGAAGCTTTTTAAATCAGTATGCCATTGCTGATTTACGTATTGGGAAACATACTGATTTGGATGTTCATCAATTTTTTCTGGATCTCGCCGAAATTTGAAAAGATTCTCTTTTTCGTATAATTTAAGCATATCGTGAAATGAAACTGTGTCATCATGTATGTAACTCTCTAAAACTTTTTTATAACCTAGATTGTACTTAGCTTTTATTTTGTGAATGGTTGGTAACAAATCTGTTCTAAGAGGAGTTTCTGGTCTTCCGAGCTTTTTTGGATTTAAACCAAGTTCTTGCCATTTTAATAATAATTTTTTTCTACCTATGTGCAAATCTTTTGCAACTTGGTCTACTGTCTTTTTGCCAATAGAATATTCAAGATATGTCGTAATATAAATCTGATTTTCATTTGGCAGATCCACTTCTTGTCTTTCCATTTTTTTTTGAATCAATTTATACAAATAAACTTATAAAACACAAAATTATTATTTTATAATATAATTCTTAGATAATACATCCGATATGTAAAGTGTCAAAAATGAATTGAACCGAATTTTCATGCATTACAAAAGGTACATTCACTAGGATAAATAGCATCCCTATATAGTGCCTAACAATATTTATACGGGCAAAAAATTTGGCTAGAGATTTGGCGAGTTAGAAAACTTAGAAAATTTAGAGGGATTTTTATTTTCGAATTTTTTTGGAAAGTTAAAATTGTGATTAAAAATCGATTTCCGGGAGAACTAAGCATCTCATCATATATTTAAATCGATAAAATTATTAAATAATAGTTGAATAGTACAACTACATGAAATTGTGGCTGAATATACAGAAAAAATGAACATATTTGACATTTTTGAAAATTCATATAGTTGGATGGTGACAGACTCATAAACTATACTTTAGCTAAGAATGGTATATGATTTCAGCAACACATGGTTAAAATCGTAAAAATTTTTTAGATTTCAAACAGATATATGGTAATCTAATGGAACAGAGTCAGCAAATAGCATGTAAAATATGTTACAATTAACTTTTTATTATATCCAATAGTAAATATCGAATGTTATCCAGCTTTATGGTTAAATATTTTCGGTTCAATTTTTTTTGGGGGGTATTATTATTGTCGTCTGGCGGTTTTAGACGACAATGCGAATTTTCAAATAATAGGATTTTTAGCCAGATAAAGAGCTACTCCATATATCATGCGTGTTTGCATACTATATACATAGATGGAATTGATGTTCTTCCTTTATTTAGGTACCGAAACATGCTTGAAAAATCTATTTTTTAGACGACAATAATAATTTTGTCACTTTTTCTAGACGACAATAAAACATCCTCTTTTTTTTCGTATAGAAATTTTTGAAAATATCAGTATCTCAATTTTTGTCGATCAATTTTCTATAAAATTAAAAATGTTCGTGGAGCATCATATTATGGTCATATATTTTCATTTTCATTTTTTGCATAAATATTTCCCGCCAAAATACAAAAGTGCCATAATCTCATGGTGGACCACAGCTGGAGTCACCGCCGACTATCCACTTGCTGGGATGCTACGCAGCCTTTGATCTGGCCAATCTTAGTGCTGCTCCATCCACATCAGCAAGTGATTTCGGCGGGAGATCTCCAATCGGTCTTCCATGAGGGTTACGCAAGCCAGATTCTCTGACACATAAATTGTTAGAGACCACAACTACATTATACTAGGACAAAGTTCTTCCGAGGCCTCTCATCAAATGAGAGACTTCGGAAGAACTCTGCCCTATTCGATTAATTACAGAATCCTAGGCCTTTTGGGAACTAGGAAAGAGTAGTAAGAGTACTTTAAGGCAATGCTCATCGAATGAGAGATTTCGTAATGAACATTGCCCATTTCAGGCAAACTTACTCCCCTAACCCTCGGAGGTTAAGGGAGTAGTACTATAGTCAACGAGGGCAATAACGTATAACTAATATCGACAGAAGCACAGTAACTACGCAGCCTAGCTACGCTATCCTAGCAGCTAGGCTGCATAGTTATTGTGCTTCTGGCTTGCGTAACCCTCATGGAAGACCGATTGGAGATCTCCCGCCGAAATCACTTGCTGATGTGGATGGAGCAGCACTAAGATTGGCCAGATCAAAGGCTGCGTAGCATCCCAGCAAGTGGATAGTCGGCGGTGACTCCAGCTGTGGTCCACCATGAGATTATGGCACTTTTGTATTTTGGCGGGAAATATTTATGCAAAAAATGAAAATGAAAATATATGGCCACAATATGATGCTCCACGACCATTTTTAATTTTATAGAAAATTGATCGACAGAAATTGAGATACTGATATTTTCAAAAATTTCTATACGAAAAAAATTCAGAACCATATTTTCTTATCGAGCTTCTCTTGAACTGTTGTATTAAGGTTGTAAATTTTTGATGCTAGAAACTTTGGAATCTTCTTTGCTGCAGCATTTTTCTTGAGAGTTCTTGCAATTTCGAATAGATCTGCGCATTGTATGAAATGGGGGCTTTAAAATATCTTGAAAACAGAATAGGACTGCTTTTCCAAAGGAATGCTTACTTGTAAATCAGAGAGTTTCAAAATTGAGTACAAGATTATCATCATACCTTTTGATTTTGCTGCGTAAAAGGAAGACAAGGTATTAACAAATCATTTACTGTTGTTCATCAAAAGAAGAAACTTTGATAACAACTAATGATGATAAAATCAAGCAATCTTTTAATATTTTAAATTGATAAGACATTCAAAATATTTGAATTGTTTAAAATATTTTCTTTTAATTTCTCTAATATATTATCATGATTATATAATCAAATTTAAATTTTTATTCAAAAAGGCAATATTTCAAATTTTTAATTTCAATAATCTTAATTCTGCAATAAATGTATTTAATTGTAGCAAATTTAATGATCTTTCGTCATGGTTAGCAATTTGGAACTCATAAATTAATGATTTCTTCAAGTAAAATTCTGCATTATTTCAAAAGTCAATAATTCTCTAGTAACTTTTCCCCAAACCCTAACCATTATATTATATGTGTAATAGAGAATAATTGCAAAAAAAGATGGCCGAATTTACTGGGTAGTTCTTGTGATGCGAAATAATTGGAATTTAACACCTAGTTTTAGCAGCATCATTCTCTTTTTGCTCTCATTTAAATGCTTTTGCACACTTTAATTTTGAAATATAAGAGTTTTGGAAATTATCAAATTTATCTGCTCAAATACTATAGATCTTCATAAGTGTTAATAGAATCACCAGCCTTACATATAGTGTTTAATATAATGATGCACATCATACTGGGATTTATTCCTTATTCATCTAGTTATTATAAGATTTACAACCCCATGAAAATTTAAAATTTTGTCAAAAATAGTGAATGTACCTTTGCATTACAGAATTTTTGGTATTTATCCGCCCCAAAATGAGAATGTCCTGTTAATTTTTAGTTCTAGAGAATCTCGTGTAAACTATTCAATTTTGATGAAAAAAAACTTATTTTTTATTGAGTCTTTTATAGAAATTTTATGGCCGAGTTTGATAAAGTTCTCGAATTATTAGCAGCAGGATCACTATCATCTATTGGTTCTTATACTCAAGCTGACTTGGAAAAATTTAACGCAAATCAGGCAATGATTACAGAAAAATTAAATGAATTTCGTTCGGTACCTGGATATCTTGAAGTGTTACTTGATATTATTGATAGCCAAGTCGATATTGGACTTAAATTAATAGCAGTAACAGAAATGAAAAATGTTATTAAACAGTTTTGGGAAAACGATCAATTGTTCTCAAATAAGGACGTTATTAGAAGCAAAATTCTCCAATTTCTACTCATTGATGATGCACATGAGAATTTCTTCAGTATGGTTATTGAATCTATTGGTCTCATAGCCGCATCTGACTTTCCAAGCAGATGGCCACAGTTTAATGACTTCTTCAGTCAAATCAACATTGATGAAGAGAGTTTTGCCTTAGTACAGAGAATGCTTTTTGCAGGAAGCGAAGTATTCAAGAGATTCGAAGATATGAGCTACAAGAGTGATGGTGGTGAGAAAATCTCACTCGCTTCGGCTCAATGGATCGAGAAATTGTTAGCAGTTATGACAAAATTACTTCCAAACTACGAAATAGAAAACACATTTACTGCATGGATCCCAGCACTCAAACTATTCAACTCATTGATTTCTACAGATCTTCCTCAACCATTCTTTGATCATCTTGGCGAAATCTTCCAAGTATTCACATTACTTTTACAGACAGATACCGTTGAGGAGCTCCTCGAAATGAAAATCCAGCTTTGCCAAATTCTTCAAAAACTCATTTTCAGGTACTTGGATGAAATCCTGAATTACGCAGAAAAGAAACGCAAGAATGGTGTCGAAGTTACTGAAGAACAAGAACAAGAATTCCTTGAAATATTTATCAATCTTCTCGATTCAGTTCTTGGTCAATTATATAATGATGAGAAATACGAATCACAATTCAATTCATTCATTGTTACTGTCTTCAAAACGATGGCTTCAATCATGAAACAAGCCAAACTTCGTGATTTTTACTTGAATGAAGAGAGATTAAATCAAGTGTGCGAAATTGTTCAAAAGTACCTCGCAATCAACGAAGACATGGTCGAATCGATGCGTGAAGATCCTCTCGAATACTTCAACACCGATATCGGCGGACTTGAATGGGAATCACCAAGAAAAGCTGCATTTGATTTCATGAAACTCCAACTTGCAAAGAACTACAGAGAAAACGTTGAAGAGATATTTGGATCACCAAACCAACTTTCGAAGGCAGAATTCGATAGTTTAGATTTGGATGTGAAAGATTCTATGATTTTCTTCACAGGTTTCTTCAAATCAGCAAAGTCATCTATCAGAGAAGGTGTCTTACAAATTGTTGAAGATTTCGATATTGTTCAGTTTGTCACAGAAATCATCATTCCTATATTGACACTCCCTATTTCTCCAGATCAACCGGAACTCATGATTTTGCAAGCAGATGCAGTCAAGTTCTATGTTGACTACAGGAACGTCATCCCAGCAGAGATCACAGCGAACAACTTCAAGACTTTCTTCCAAATGTTGAATTCCAACATCATCACAACAAAATTGTATGGTGCATATTTGATCGAGAGAATCTGTGCATCTAAGTTGTTGAATGTTTCATCTGAATTCTTGATGAGTCAAGACATCTCATCAATCATTCCTACACTTATCCAGTCACTTACATACGAAGGAAAGACATGTGCATACATCGGCAAAGTATTGATGCGAATTGCTAGTGTTGGAGCAGAAGCATTACATTCAGTTTCTGTTTCAGTCATCAAGACGATCATCAACACTATCAGATCATCCATTGATAATCCAGCCGACACTGATTTCTTCCACAACTTGTGGGAAACTATCGCAGCTTTGTTGATCTACTCACATCCACCATTCGAAGAAGTCGAAGGTCCACTATTCGAATTGATCAGAACAATCATTGAAAAACAATCAACAGACTTCATCCCTTACTCGATCCAGATTGTTGGTGCTATGGTCAATGCACACAGAGAAGGAGATCAATTCACACCAATATATAACGAGTTCTTCGAATCTATGATGAGTGAAGAACAGTGGTTACCATTTGGAAACATCCCAGCATTAGCTATGATGATCACAGCATATTCTAAGCACATTCCAGAATTAGTCTTCCATTTCTATGAAGGAATTGTTATGAGATGTGATGAATTGTTACAAAAATCGCGAACACACATGTCTGCATTTGTTATTTTGCAGTCCATCATTTCCATGGATAATCCTTCTATTGATGTCACCGGAATCATCGGCATCACATGGAAGAACTTCACATTGCAGTTACCACGATATAAATCATCATTTGCGATTTTCATTTGTTCATGCATCAACTCTATTGGTGCCGACAGACTCATCTCATCTATTCCAGGTGATTGCAGGAACGACATCTTCAACGAATTGGAGAGATGTCTTCCATTGATCCGCGAGCGCAAAGACATCGAACGCGTTGTTTCCGGTGTCATTCAAGGATTACGTTGCGAATCAGTTAATTCCAATGAGTGGGGATGTTTGTTGCGTGGCATTGTCACTGTTTTAGAACGACCAAATCACGACGAAAACATCAATGAAGAGATTGCTGCTAAGCGTGAAGAAGAAGCCGCCGCGACACAGTTCGATACAACATTCGCTCGCTTGATTTATGCCGAACGATCAGAACAAACAGAAGGTGACATCAACTCAACAACAAACTTGAACCAATACACAGCATGCGCTATTTCTGAAATCTCAGCTATGCGTCCAGGTTGGCTTGGCGACGCAATTCAAAAGTTATCTCCTCTAATACAAGATTCTTTCAACAAATACCAAGAAAGATTCGAAGTTGCTTTTATATATTAATTAAAAACGTTACTTATCATATCATATCTTGAGTATAAAATCCTCATAAATTGTATGAATTGGCGAGTAAATTGAGAATAGACATATTCATAAAGGCGACGGAATTTATGAATAGGGTACCCTATTTATGAACGGTTAGAATTTGGAAAAACCGTCGCAAGTATGAAAACCCTAAATATGGAAAAACCGTCAAAAGTATGAACAGGTAGGTGATCGGAATCTTCATATTTTTTATTTGGAATTTAGAAACAAGAACCTAATAATCAATTATGTATGGAAATTAGAAATAATCCCTATACTAAATGCTATTGTTTTTCACTTTTTTCTAAAAAATCTTCTAAATTAATTTAGATTTTATTAATTTTTAGACTAAATGCAAATACACTTGATTAATTTCTGTAATTATTGAAGAAGGCTTAAACTTATATCTTAACTTAAATTCATGAATATTCTTATTTCTAATTTCTTTTTCCATTTGACAAATAAAGGGTTATCCACACTTGTCAACTTATTTATGAATAAACATGAGTAGGGGTAATTTTAGCTAAAAGTGACACGCCTGCAAAAAGTGACACACCCGTGAAGGGTGTGATTACCGATCGGTAATTTCGACAGTTTAGAATTTAAAATTTTTTATGGAACTGTTGCGAGTTTCATAAAGAATTTAAGGAATATAAGCAAAGATTTGAATCAAAATCTTAGACCTAAGCCGCTCGATTCGCTCGCGGCTTCCGCGAATTACAGATCAGCAAAGATTTGAATCAAAATCTTCGAACTAAGCCGATCGCTTCGCTCGCGGCTTTCTTTATTATTTTAAATTTGCATATTTCCATCAAAAGTTCATAAGGTAAAAAATTTCGTTTATATTATTGCAAAATAAAATCTTCATTATCAAAATAATATTAAATAATAATATAATATAATTTATAAACAACTATTATTTAAGGGTATAGTCCACTAAAAATTTTTAAGTTTTGACAATGAAAATAAGCTCTGTGACCATGTAAATATATATCTATGCAAAACGAGAGGTTATGCCATAATTTTTTTTAGTTATCAAATTTTCCTTTTTTTTGAGAGAAGTCTCTCAATAATTTGAGAAGAATCTTTGATATAAAGAGATACACATTTGTAGAACGAAGTAAGTGTTTTCCAAACATTTTATATGTTCATCCTGTATAACAATATAAAGCTGCATAGTGCCATCTTGTGCGTTTGCTATTTTATGTACTTTTCATTGAGATAATCCCTCTTCTCGGGTGATTTTAACAGTCAACTCAATTTTAAAATAAAGATTTCATCAAAATGATTTCGAAATTCGGATATTGATTATATAAATAGCACTGTTAACATATTTTGGATGAGTAAAAAATACCTTGTTTTGTATGCATTTAGTACACCTTTATTTTTGATTAAAACTATAAAATTTTTATTCTTATATAATAAATAGTATATGTTACATAAACATGAAATTCAATAGCATTCAATTTTGGATTTTTTAGATTTGGTAAATTTTAGAAGAAATAAAATCAGCAATCAAAATAAAGAAACTTTTTTGTATCTTCTATGATTACCTTTTGGTACTAAATTTTGCATTAATAAGTAAATTATCTGTATTATTCTGTGAGCACAAGCCCTCAGTTATGCTGGTAGTGAATGAGGAATCGTCATTTTGCGAAGAGAACGCGATTATTAAGGTAATTTTGAGAATTGTCTTGAATTATTTAAAATTAAAGTTAATTGAATAGGTAGGATAACTAGCCTTTGCTAAATTTGTATAATTTGACCTTATTCTAGTTGGATCTGAGAATGTTTTGCTGAAATAATAAATTATATCGCCGATTTATGAAAATTTCTCTGATGGGACCGACTCGCTGAAACGTATTAGTGTTAATGGTAACTTGTCTGAATTTTCAAATTTTTTTTCGAAATCCAAAAAATCACAAACAAAAGCATCAAAATTAAATTTGAATTTAAAGTTTTCATTTTTTTTTGGAAAATAAAAATATTTTCCCCCAATAAAGTTTATTTTTACTTTTGAGAGGAATAGAAACGTTATTTTGGAATTTTGAAACGACAGAAATGTTCCATTTTTTAATTTTTGATTGAACCGTTATCCATTGAAAAACCTCGATTTTAAAATGTTATTCCAAAATATTCATCTAATGAAAAAAAAAAAAAAAAGAAAGGTATTGGGGCCTCCAGGCACTTCGTGCCCTCTAGCCCTGAAGATGTTTAGTATAAATGAAGTTTTTATTCGGAGGGCTTCCAGGCACTTCGTGCCCTCTAGCCCTGAAGATGTTTAGTATAAATGAAGTTCTTATATACGGGTCTTCCAGGAGCTTTTCACAAATTATATATGTTTTCATGTTTTGTCACTTTTCTGTCACTTTTCAGGAAAAAACATTTTTATTATTATATATAAATGAATTTTACAAAACCACCGTTACCGTTCTTTGGAAATAAGAGTAGATGTAAAGATATTCTATTGAGAGAACTTAAGAACTACCGAATGGTCTAACATTTGTAGATTTGTTCGGTGGAAGTTTCTATATATCCCATTTGTGCCATACAATATTCCCAGACTCAAAGATTATATGCAATGACTTCGACAACTATATGGACCGTCTCAAACATATACCAGACACAAACAATATATTGAAAGCGTTAAAAGAAAAGATACCTATAGGTAAGATGGAACGTATACCATTAGATAAGAAAAATATTGTGAGAGAGGTTTTGAAAAAAGCAGAATATATAGACTGGGATAGTATATCTGCTAGACTATTATATAGTGGTTCTATAAGAGTTCATGACATTGAAACACTTATGTCAAAAGTTTTATATCTTAACTATACAAATGTTTTCAAAGAGGACATAGAAAAATATATTGAGGGTATAGAGTTTGTGAGATGTCATTGGACAGAGTTGTATGAAAAATATAAAGACAAGGAAAATGTTTTCTTTATAGTGGACCCGCCGTTCTATAACACATGGGATTTTCAATACCAAGTAGACTGGACTTTGAGAGACTCTTTAGAAACTTTAGACGTTTTACATAACTGTCCATGCTTTTACTTTACATCCGATAAAAGTGGTTTGGAAACCGTTATGAGATGGTTAGAGGACATACATGACTATGAGTTTAGATATGACAAGATAGAATATGAGAGAGGTCCTATAAACCGGAGAAAGTGTCATAACAAAGAAATTTTACTAGTAAGTAAATGTGGTTTGAAATAGGACTACTTGTTTTAGGTTTTTCCATTGTGTCATTTATTTCTTTGACGTGGCAGAAAAGTACAGAGAATATGAAGATGAACCAATGCCTGCAAATGTCCAGTATATGTACTCGTAAGAGATATTTTTATCTAATATTAAATGGACGCACAGAACTTAGCGAATGCACAGCAACCTGGACAACCAAACCCAGAGAATATTCCAAATGAAGTTAGAATACAAACTGCAATGGCAAACTATGGTCAAGTGCCAACAGATGTACAAATGCAAACTGCCATGTCAAATGACGCTGCGTTAGGTTTGCACCATGGTATGCAAATATGAGATGGAAAGAGTTTTATACAAACCCTGAAGTGGGATATAAACAACTTTATGCAGATGACGCGAACACAGGAGTTGACCCAGAATATGTTTTCTACCAGAGGAGAAACAGAATGTATGAGCTCCAGTTAAAGAATGCTATGGAACTCAACAGGAAACGTAAGAGACTAGGCGGACATTAGATTTTTACACGTAGTAAATGGGTTTCTTTGGAAGAATAGGAAACTTCTTTCGAAATGTTGGAAGAGGTATATGGAATGGAATAAAATCTGTCGGAAGAGGAATTTGGAACGGAGTCAAAAATATTGGTAAAAGAGTAGGTCAGTTTGTTGGTATTATACCTAAAGACCCTGAACCAGAAGAACAAGCTCCTGTTATACAACAGCCTGAACCTGCACCACAGTCAAGTTGGCAACCAAATCCAACACCTCAACCGTATTAAAAAATTATATTTTTACCGTTCGATAGTAGTTGTATATGAAACTAAGTTCTAAGTAAAACGCATGGTATAATGGAATTGTTCTTTTTCTTCCATCTGTAGTAAACCATACTTGAAAGTCTGAAATACTTCCACTTGGTGGTTCATATAGCTTTGTAGGTTTTTCGTAAAAGTCATTTGCCAAGCATAAAAAAGAGTTTTGTGCACCAGAAAATGAAGCATGAACTATCACAGCATCTGAGTCGAAAACATTTTCATATGTTCCATTAGGGTTTTCGACTTCATAAAAGTCCGGGTGTACTGGATATTCTGCAGGCTGATTTAACATCCTCATAAATCTATACCATGCCAAGTTGTTATATTTTGTAGAAATATAAACGTTTTCTCCAAGGTCTTCTATTCTATTGATTTTAACAGTTGCATTTTTCCTGTCATATATAATATCGAGATGGTACTCTCCTTCGTCAATGTTATACTGGTTTGCATATTCGATATAGATGTCGTTTATTTTTCTTGAAAAGCTTGAAGAGTTGTTTCTAAGTTTACAAGCAAATTCACTTGTAAAAGTTTTCCCTGTTCAAATTTCTCATACGTACGTTTTTCTTTGTTATAGTATCGAACTTCAAAACCGACCGTAAATGGGAAACCATGTATGGCTTCTGAAATGAACTTCATTCTACGAAAGCCAATAGCTTTTGTGACGGATGGGTCTCTTAACCATCTTAACGGGTAGTCAAAACGATAGCCTTCATGCTTTACGGTCTCTGTCTCAAACTTTTGACCGACATTAGTAAAAAGTTCATCTAATGGTTTAGTTGTAGCAACTCTTGAATTTTCTTTTTCTATTGAAAGCATATTTTATCTAGAATAAAAATGTCAAATGAAACAGCGTCTATGAGAGAAATACAACACAACCGACAACTCATTATACAAGCTCTAAATAAGAACACAACAAACTTTTCAAACTATTCTAAGATATCTGAGTCATTGAAAGAAGGAA